GATACAAGACCCAGAACCCGCCGTGATACAGTCCCAGACCCCGCCCCCAGAACCAGCCTTTTTACAGTTTTTTTTTGGGGGGGGTTGTTGTTCCCTGAATTCACGAACAACAACCCCCCCCCACCCCTGCCTATCGCAGGGGGTCTCCACAACATGGCGGGCAACATCATGTTGGCGTCGTTCCAGTTCACGTGTCAATTGTTGTCTGGGGCATGTTCCGGAGCTAGGTTCCATGTTTTACAGCAACAGCGCAAATTCGAGCATGAAAGCCAAACCTCCATGTTTTACAGCAACGTGCGTGGCTCACAGCGAAGTTTCGAACAGGAAGAGGGCAAAACCTACGTGCAAGTTCATTGCAAGTGCAAACGGAAAGCATGCGATTTGCAGTTCAGTTAGCTAGGTTGCCAAGCATCATGGCTTGTTTTGCATGTGCCCGGCCTTAGCAGAGTCACGTTAGACGGATCGTCTGAGTTTAACACTGCCGAGTTGAAATGTGTTCTCGTTTGCAGGGCAATGAATGCGATTTCAACTGAGGGCTGCAGCTACCCGATTGGTTGGGCTGCCACGAAATCTGTGGTGGAGGCCAAAGCCAAACCAAAGTACTCAGACCAAACATTGCGCACCATGATAAGCTCAGGCCATGATGCAAACTGCACTGCAGTCAGCGCTGAGTGTTGAGCTGAGTGAGCGGGTGGGTGCTTGCAAGATGAGCTCCTATCCTGAAAGATGTGATGAAAAGGACAGACTTGAGCCTGGCGGAGTCCTCTGAGATTGTATTGGATGACCTGATCGAAATAACGACGGATGATTTCAACAAGCGACCTCCCAGGACGGTTCAATGTCCTTTCAAGCACTGGCTGCGCAGTTTTTTGTCATTTGGCAGGTTGTCCTTGGCGTCGACAGCATGCCCTTCGAATCCGGACCTGGATGACAGAGGGCTGCAAGCCAGATTCGGTGTGTCTGGTCGAGTGCACATTCCAGAGACTCTTTGCAAGATGTTGTGTCAGGTTGTGTTGATGCACCTTGCTCAGGAAGAGCTTCGTGAGCAGTGCGACAGTGGGGCGACACACCTTGGACTTGTCCCGGAGGCTGTGCCTTTTCTTGAGTCCTGGGGTCTTGGATTCTTGGCATGTCATGGGCCCCCAGGTGCTGCGTTAGGTGCGCTATAGCATTCTTGCAGGTCGACGAGTGGCTAAAGGTTGACATATGCTACTTGTACCGCTAGCATGCATCCGACCTGGATGCGTGGGTCTGTGCGTTGCAAGTACTGCCGCAAGGCACTGATGGACGAGCCAAGCTTTCCGGAGATGGATGCGCAGGCTGGGTCAGATAGTGATGATGCCGGAGCGATCGGAGCCGTGGCCGTCACTGCCAACCATCCAGCCATGTAGGTAGTTTTTTTAAATTGGGGTCCCTTTTAGGGTCCTGTTTACAAAGGTGGCGTACTATATTGGGGACCTAAAAAGGGACCCTAGTTTAGTTTAGAGGACTAGTCATGTGATTTAATCGTGTCAGCAGCTCCGTCAGCACCCCCCCCCAAAAGCAAGTCTCTAAGCTGCTTCGCGGGCCTAGGCTATTGAGACAAACGTAGCTGACACATTCATGAAATGCACATTAGCACGCGGAAAAGTACACACCTTCGGCAACGTTGCCTGAAGTCTGGCAGCTACCTTTGCCCAGGGGAGGGGGTCCAAGGCTCGAGTCCATTCAGGGATCCGTGCTGGGCTGTTCCATTCTTGGCAGATCCCGCGTGAACAGCAAGCAAAGACTGTGGTTGATCAATGAATGGCCCCGTTTGCTGGAATCCTGGACAACTCTTGTGCAAGCATAGGGGGGCGTGATGATTGTTTTGCTCTTGCGGTTCACACCACTATTGAATGACTCCTATTCCTATAGCAATACCTACAGCAGAGCAATTATGTTGTCATCGTGTTTTTGCTCGATTGTCCGTTGATACCTTCTGGTTTTTTGCTATGAATCTTTCGGAAAGATTTCTCATTTCCGGTGTCGCTGTTAATGAGTGAGTCGGTTGCAGAAGGGTGTGCAAGGTGGCTCAAGACTCGGGCTTTCCACAAGTCTTGCAAGATGCAGGCGGTGGATCAGCGTCGACATTGTATCTTGCTTAACTGTTCGGGTGCACCTCGATGCCTTTGTTCGATGCACTCATCCTGTCTGTGATTCTATGAAACTATATACTAAAATATCTGCAGCATATCCATCATCTAGGTCTCATGCATCCAAGCAGCCAGAAGCCTGGAAGAGTTGTCAGGCCATGGTTAGCCTCGGAGACGTCTTCGGGCCACTCGCCCTGAAGAGATTCCATCTTCCGGTGTCCAAGGATCCCGTGTCTGGTTTTCGATGTAAGGCTGGGAAACATGATGTACAGCTACCTCTCGGCAGCTTGCTTGCACCTAGTCAGACCTAGTCACATGGATGTTTGCAACTGGCCATGGCTGAGGCGCATGAATGCGCAGCAGTTCGTGCTGCTTGCCGAGACTCCCACGACTACTTGCACACAAAGGTCCCTGGAGAGCCCTTGTTTTGCCCCCCCTGTTTGTAACTTATCGCGTGCATGGTCAGGATTCTTTGTAGCTGCGGCGCTGGTTGTACGGTCATGCTCGCAGTTGAAATGATTAGTCCTCTTTTTCTGATAATCATTGGCATGGTTCTTGCCACCACCGCTGCCGCTTCTGCTGCTGCCGCTACCGCTGCTGCCCTGTTTCTATCCTGTCATGTTAAGTACCACTTCTGTTGGTTCATCACTATCAATCAAAGCAGCAACGTAATTAGACCAACGTGACATGCTCAAAGTCTAGGGTCTCTAGGCAATTCTTGTTATCGTTGCTTTTATCGAAAACATTGTGCTGTCGATCATGTCATCTTTCTGTGCTTGCCGATTCTTCTAGATTCTAGACCTTTCCAGTTACCATTCTTGTGATCATCATCATGCAGCATGCATGTTGTCATTTCCTTCCTTACCACTTCTCTGGTTGTTACTTTCGTCAGTCCTCAAGCTGCTAGCACGAGTCTTCGAAAATTAGAGACATGTCCAGAGCAGACTAGAACTGGAATGGGCCCGGTGGAAGGGGATTACCGTTGAGGGACGTACCAATGCTACAGATACAGATGGTGAGCTGCAGAACGTGCGAACGGGACGACTTGTGCATGGACCCCCTTTCAGCAGCAGGGGCATGCACGGTTCAGAGCTGTTCAGCAGCAATGCTGATGCATGAAATACATGAGTCTTGTGTTCTGGTTGCCTTGTCGTTGAAGGCACTGGTGGAGTACTTGATCACGTTGATGCAGCTTTCAAGGTTCGGAACTCAGTGTTCCAGCCTTGCAATCTTTACGAGCTCAGTCCAGATGCTTTGCGGAGGCCCGAAATGTGTTCAGCTGCTGGAGCGCCTTGCGCAAATGAGGGTGGGGACAGCTATCAGTTGCAAGCAGCCGAAGCAGGTGCAAAATTTAGCAACTTCAACTTTATCTACAAACCGGTGAAGTTGAGGTTGTCGTATTTTTTTGTCTGCAGGCCTGCGATCCTTCGTCTATGGCATCAAGGTTTGGCACAAAGCTTGGCCGGGCGCAATGGTTGCTGTTGTGGAGAGGTTCAGGGCCGACAGCATGCACATGCAGCAGGCGATAGCAAAGAATGCCCGTCGAACATTGACCATTCTGGCCGGATACTGCTTTAAAAACGCATCCAAGAGTGTTCGGCATTTATTGGTGCCGGATACGCTGCATTGGCTTCAGAATGGGGAAGAAGATCTCCGTGTTCAAGTTTGCGAGGCTCTGTCCAAATGCGGGCGGCATCTCTTGGGACGCTTCAACAACGCGTGCGTGGAAGCTTTGCTAGAAGCTTGCGGTTCTAACCACAGCGTGCCCTGCCGCATACAGGCGTTGAAGGCCCTCAAGGTGTTTGCAGCGGCTGACTTGGGTTTCTACCACGTGCTGCGCCCGCAACTGACAGAGCTTTATGACTCTTGCGCACGAGAAGTCGCTCCTGTCATTTCTCGCATGATCGGCGAGTTGGATTGGCTGAAAATAGAGCGGGCGACGGCCCATAGCATGGCCCAGAGCTTTTTTAGCAATTGTGAAAAGATTCTGGCTGCAGATCCCTTGAAGGCGTGCAGTCACATCGAGCTTGAACGGGTTTAATGCCAGAGAAGGGCAAGGGCAGTGCTGATTGGACTCCTTGCCCGCGCCTGCCATGACAGCTGATGACACGTCCGATGCCATCAGCCAGCAGGACGTGATGATCTCGTTCTTTGATTGGGAGGAAAACTTCCGGAGCGTAAGGTTGGAGTGTTGCGAGGCTGAGGCTGCGGGAGTGTTGCCTGGATCTGGCTTCTGCACGCGTTGAAGTGATGCTGCAAAGGCTGATTCCAATGATGGCTGCCACTTTGACCCCTGCTAGCTCAGCGAATCTGAGCGGCTGATGTGTAGGACCTCCTGCATGCATTAGGTTCATTTGGCGCATGACAGAGTGGGGTTCGATTGCATTGCTGCGAAATAGTGGCATAGCGCTTGCCGTATGTGAAGAAGCCGACAAGAAGTGGAACGTGGTATTGGCCACAGCAATGGCGTGAACCATTCAGACGACATGGGGAGTATAGTGGAGAGCTCTGGATGAAGCAGTCCAGGTTCTCAGTATTTCTCAGTGTCTGCATTGCAGCAGACACTGCTACTTGTATCATCCGTCAAGTTGCCAAAGCTGGATTGAATCATGGGTCTGTTCCCCCCCTACTCCGGACAGGCCTCTTCTTCTTCTTCGTGCAAAGACTTCGCTGAGGACTTGGAGGGTTATGTTGCCCTGGGCCCGACTGCTGCGGCCTGACCTCAGGCCAGCTTGCGTACTTCCGCCGTAGCTGCTTGTGCAGCTTGTGCTTGCATTGTTGTTCACCCAGCATGTCCATGGGCGAAAAAGGTCGTGGATCTGCCTCGCTTGAGGGTTCTGCTTCTCCAGCACACATGTATAACCTTCCTGCAACGACACATGACGCAATCTCCATTTTGAGCTTCGTTTTTCCTTGTTGGGATTGGGATGGCCCCCTCAGCCCCAAGAAGCTCTTCCTTGTTTCTTTTTGGATGGCCCCTCCAGAATCAATGGCATCACGAGCATCATCGGGGGTGTCATTTCCTAAGTGCTTGGCATTTAACTTAACTGTGGGGTCGAAGGGCAGCTAGGCAGGAGCAAGGTTGTCCCTCAGAGTTTGGATCCACGCCCAACCCGAAACCCACCTCTTGAACATGCTCGCCTGTCTGCGACGTCGGCACGCAAACGCGCCAAGCCCTTTGAATCCTGACCCCGAAGCCTACCCGGCCTACCCGCCCATCTGCGCCCGCCCCTTCGCCCTGCCACTTGGACGCCTTGCAACTGCACGTGCAGAATTTCGGGCCTGCGAGCATCGGGCCCCTCCAGAGGTCCTTGGCGCTGGAAATGGCATGTAAGTTTGGGAGTGGGCGGTTTCCATCGGTCTTTGCAGAGGATTCGTTTTCGAAACCTCACTGCGTGGCCCCCCCAAGATGAGCATCATGGGAGGTTGTGTGCAAAGGCCGTATTCTGTGCAGCGTGTGTTGCGTGCAAGCTATCATTTCTCACAAACTGCCTTCGTGGAATGCAAACGGCAGCCATGGAGTTCTAGAATGCCCGCTGCTGCAGCCATGGCAGCCATGGTGTCTTTGAGACGCGCAAGCGTTCTGCATGTTCCAAGCCCAATCTTTCTCGATACATGCCGTTCAGGTTGGAAAAGGGACATGCGCAGAGCATCTGACACTTGAATCTTTCGGAGTCCCGACAGCAAACCACCAATTCATGAGACAGGCATAGTGGATTGTACTGGCATAGTCAAGCTTCGTCACAGCGACCAGCCGCGAGAGTCTCCAGCACCCATGTGGACCCAAGCCAACCGAGATCTGTGCACATGCCAGATAACAGCTAGAAAGACTAGATCCGGCTGTGTTCGCACCCGTGGCTTGGCCGGAACCCGAGCGAAGATGGAGTTCTCCTGCTTGCTTCCGCTTCTGTGTGTGTGTGTATATATATATATATATATATATATATATATATGTGCGCGTGTCTTTTTGTGGCAGACCTGTCATCAGGCCGCAAGAGCAAAAGCCGGATCCTGGGGCGGATGCGGCCACTTGCCGGGCACCCAGTTGATTCTGCCGAGCGCGTGTGCAAACGCCCTGCGTGTGGGGACGTCGCCTGCGGGGAGGGCCTCTCCTGGGCCCCCTGGCTGGCCCTCTACCAGGCGCCTTCCGGGGAGCGGGAGCTGCGAGAGCTGCGAGAGAGAGAGAGAGGGCAGGGGCTCGGGCTGAGTGCTGCAGCTCTGCTCCGTCGAGGCGCCCTGGCCGGCACACGGCGGGTCTAGTGGGCTCCTGGCCACTGGCCAAGAGCTCAGCTCTTCTCTGCTCTCTTGCTCTGTCTTTGGGTTATAACTTAAGGTCTATAAATCTAAGCTTGGTTTTTTCTTGGCCTTTCTCTTTGAGTTTTGCAAAACCCCAGCTGCAGCCGCTAGGTCCAGGTGCTGGTGCGCTGGTCATCGGTTCTGAGGAGCTCTGACCTGCGGGCCTTGCGGATCGCTCCTGCCCTGAAACGGTTTTCTTTCTTTTTTTGCGAGGATCTCCAGAAATTGCGTGGAGCCTTGGGGCTCGGGGCTCGGGACTCGATCTCCGGGCTTTCCGTGCCAGCCTCCACATCCCAGGCGCGTGGCCGACGAGCTGCATTTGGTCTTGGGGCTCCTGGACCAGCACCTGGAGGACGAGTGGAGCTTCCTTGAGCTGCGAACTGCACAGCGCCAGAGCGCTTTGACCGCACTGACCGCACTGACCCATGTTGTCTTCGTTCTTTCACAGGCGGGGCTGCCGGCACCGCTCCGTGATGCAGCCAGCGTCTCGGAGGTGGGAGGAAGAGAGTCGAGGGAGGAGCGTCATGGAGCGTCCGCGTCTCGCAGGATGCGCAGCTTCGGGTGCAGCAGGTCTGCGGAGTCTGCGGAGGCTCTTGCCTTCTGCTCAGAAGCCCGAAGCCTTCCATGAGGTGGAAGCCGCTCGGCGCGCGGCGGCTGAGGCCCTGGCGGGAGTGGAGCGACTCCGCGACACTCAGCTTGTTTCGTCAGGTGGCCGGCCGCGCCGCCGGGGTGGCGGGCACGGCGGCTGGGTTCCGAGTGCCGAACTCTTCTCAAGTACGGAACGCCGGAACGGGCCGGAACGGCCCAGGCAGCGCTGGCAGCCGGCGATTTCGTGCCAATGCCGCGCGTCGAGGCCCGCCCCGGCCCCTGCCAGCCCGGGCCCAGCCGAAGGGATCGGAGACCTGGCTCTGCAGGACATCAGTGACGACGGCCCGCAAGCGCCTCCTCGCAGAGCCCTTAGTGACCTGAGTCACAGGCGGTGGCAGCAGTGCTTTCCGGAGTTACGGACTGCAGACCGGCAGGAATTTTGCAGGGCAAGCGCAGCAGCGAGCGTCCAACCGAAAGTGAGAAACTAGATAGCGGCTTTTAGTGACAAGTGGCAAGCACAGCGGCGGACCGCGATGCCCAAGTGCCAAGACGAGGTGGTGGTATTTGCTGCTTACTTTTTCAGTTCTTTCTCTTATCTTTTTTCGAGCCGCGCGTCCTGCAAGCAAGCAAGTATGCGAGCAAAGCTAGCAAAGCAAGCAAAGCAAGCAAAGCAAGCAAAGCAGGCAGGCAAGGCAGGCAAGGCAAGCAAGCAAGCCAGCCAGCCAGCGAGCGAGCAAGCGAGCAAGCAAGGCAAGCAGGCAGGCACCCAGGCGAGGAAGGAAAGCAAGCAAGCAAGCAAGCAAGCACGCAAGCAAGCAAATCGCCAAACGAGGGGGCGTGTTTAAGATACAGGAAGAACCCGAATCGCGAAATGAGGGGGCATGTTTAAGATATATGATGAACAACCAAGATCTATGATGAACCGGAATCGCCAAATGAGGGGGCTTGTTTAAGACATGTGTTGAACCCGATATGATGAATCGGAACCGCAAAATGAGGGGGCGTGTTTAAGACATACCAGTAGGATGAATCCGAATCGCGAAATGAGTGGGCATGTTTGAGACATATGATGAACCGGAATCGCCAAATGACGGGGCGTGTTCAAGATATACGTTGAATCCGGGATGATGAACCGGAGTCGCCAACTAAGGAAGCATGAACCCGAATCGCGAAATGAGGGGGCATGTTTAAGACGTATGATGAACCGGAATCGCCAAATGACGGGGCGTGTTCAAGATATATGGTGAATCCGGTATGATGAACCGGAATCGCCAAATGAGGGTGAGGGGGCATGTTTAAGATTTATGATGTATGATGAACTGGAATCGTCAGATAACGGAGCGTGTTTAACATATATGATGAACCGGAATCGCCAGATGAGGGGTGTGTTTAAGACATAGGGTGAATCCGGTATGATGAACCGGAGTCGCCAGATGAGGAGTCGTGTTTGGGATATATAGTGAGTCCAATTCCATGATCCGGAATCGCCAAAGGAGGGTGAGGGGCATGTTTAAGATTTTTGATGAACTGGAATCGCCAAACGAGGGGGTTTGTGTACGAAATATGATGAACCACAATCGCCAAATGACCGGGCGTGTGTAAGATTCATGGTGAACCCGGTATGATGAACCGGAAACACCAAATGAGGGGTCGTGTTCAAGATGCAGGATGAATCCGAGTCGCGAAATGGGAGGGCATGTTTAAGATATATGATGAATCCGAATCGCTCAATGACGCGGCGTGTTTCGGATATAGAATCCGATATGATGAACCGGAATCGCCAAATGAGGAGGGGTGTTTAAGATATAGGATGAGTCCGAATCGCGAAATGGGGGGGCATGTTCAAGATATATGATGAACCGGAATCGCCAAATGAAGGGGCGTGTTTAAGGGCTATGATGAGTCCGAATCGAGCAACCGAGGGGGCATGCTCAAGATATATGATGAACCGGAATCGCCAAATGAGGGGGCGTGTTTCAGATGCAACATGAACCGGAAGTGCCAGATGAGGGGGTGTGTTTACGGCAAAGGCGCAAACGTGGTTGAGAGAGAATATTATATATATATATATATATGTATGTCTGATGAAACCCCGAAGAAAGTTTGCTAAGTGACCCGAAACGGTGCGGACTCGAGTTGGCTAAGTGACCCCTGGTCCCCCTGCTGTGGAGGAGATCTCGATGGGGACCCACCTTGCCACGGTGGGAGGGCTCAGTGCCCCCAGGAGGTCCCCAGGCACGAAGCGGAAACACAAAGTAAGACAAAAGAGACGGAAACAAGAACAAAGCCCAACCCCCCAAGACGAGGCGGTAATCAGCGGTAGGCAGCCGGCACGGCGTCTCGACCCTCGGCCTGCCCCAAGCGCCCCAAGGTGTGCAGCATGTTGCGGCGAAATCTTGTGAATTGACAGCTCCTCGCTTGGTGCCTGTTGAGGTCTACAAGTGCTGTGCTGTAGATAGAAGTGGCGCGACCGTGTTCGTCGCTTCGTGTCCGGCTGCTTGGAAGGGATGAACCACTGCCTTCGGCGCCGAAAGAATGGAAATCCTCTTCTAAAGGGAGTGGGCTTCTTTATCAGAGCCATGCCAAACGACACTTCGAGATGCGGACATGCTGTCAGGTCCAGCGCCAGAGGCGAAGGCAGGAGGGCCTGAAGAGACCCCAAATTCCACCTGCCCTTACAAGGGCCCCGCATTCCCCATGCTCAGGGCGCCAAAACAGCGGTGACATGGATCAGTTCAGGTCTCACGCCAGAGCCTGACAGGAGGGCGACAGTCAATCCATATTCGCACAGCTAGTTTGAATCGAGCTTTCTCAGCTCAGGCTCCTGTTTTGGGCGGAGCTCTCAGTCCGGGCATTGCCGCATCTTTCACACGTTTCCATTCGAAGTGTTTTCTGACGTGGGGCTTTCCAAGGTTTCTCATGTTTCTCCATGGTTCCCTGAAAGAAATCGCCTCGGGGCCAGCTTAGGCTAACTTGGGACCACAGGCAAGCATCTGCCGGTCTTCCTCATCGAATTTTTCTTCGGCCATTCACGCCCACCTTTGCCGCCACACGAAAGAGTTAAGACTGGCTTAGTCCGTCTTCCATTAATATCCGAGAGTAAGCGGCCTGCAATTCCTCCAGTCTTCGCACATTTGCTGCCGCACTGTTTGTTGCGTCGAATCTCTGCAATTCCCGTCCAGCCGATTATCTCCCGTCCCCGTCTCTGTCTTGACCGGTCCGCCTGCCTCCTTGCCATTCATGCCATTCCTCCATTCTCATCTCTCGTGCTGCCTCGCGCCGACCCAATAGCCAGGGTGCAGGACTGCATGCAAGCTTGGCTGAAGGGAAGAACAGAGATCATGATGTGTCCTGTGCCCGTCCCTCGCGGGTGTGTCTCAGTCCGTCTCGCGGTTTCACATGTTTCCAAGCATTCCTACGCTTCTGCATTGCTGCACGTCTCTGTGTTGTATGATTCCATGATGATACATGCGCTGAGAAGACGCACTCAGAGACACTCCAGCACCCCGACTGTAATCGGGGTTTGGAATTCCACTGAGACGCGATTCTCTGAGGTTTGCATCTTCTTCCTTGACATCGTCATCGTAGTCGGGTGGCTGCCACTGAAAGTCACCGGTGAGACAGAGAGTTAGACGGAGCCGGAGCCGGCTCAGAAGCTCTGAGGATGCAGATCTTTCTGGAGTCCATCGGCCGAAAGCGAACAGGCCCCGAGCCCGAACTGAGACTCGCCGATCCCTCCAGAGCCGGCTCTCAGGTCGCGAGATCATGTCCCAGAAGGCCATGGCCAACGCGCTGGCCAAGGCCGCCAGCTTCTCAGCCCGGAACAGATGAAGACGGCAGTGCCTTTGTGGTGACGATTCCGTGGTGGTGATGTTGACGATGACATGATGGACATGGCCACCCATGATGATCACGATGACAAGGACACCTATACTGGCCAAGAGCGTGCCTCGACTCGAACACCAAGTTCTCAATTCCCAATTCGCATGTCTCAGATGTGGAGAGATTACAGCGAGCTAACAAAGTGATCCGTGTCGTTACATTCGGCTGCAGAGCGCAAGTTGAAGCAGTAGTTTCTTAGTGCACACAACCTCTAAAGCCTCTTGAAGCCACACAGGGCAGGCCCGGCTCAGGCATTTCACTACTACTCCCCCCTTCTCCAGCCGAGGCCACGGGCGGCCCGACGGGGGCTCCCATCCCCGAGCGCGCCGGGGGGGTGTCGTTGTGTCATGGAAGCATTTTCCATGCCAATTGGGGAGGAGTCTCGCGCAGAGATTTGCGCGCTTGTGTTCCATGCCGGCCAGGCCCAGTGCAGCAGGCAGCCAGCGACTTTCAGTCCTCTCCCAGGCGAAGCGAAGACTAGGTTTCGGCCCGAAAGGTTTGGGGCTTTTTGAGCGGCTTGGGGTTTTTAGGACTTCTAGGGTCTTCCAGGGTTTGGGGTGTAGAGGGTTGTGTGTGTGTGTGTGTCTGTGTGTGCAGCAAGTAGTTAAGCAAGCAAGCAAGCAAGCAAGCAAGCAAGCAAGCAAGCAAGCAAGCAAGCAAGCAAGCAAGCAAGCAAGCAAGTAAGCAAGTAAGCAAGTAAGCAAGTGAGTTAGCAAGTGTGTGGGCGTGTGTGTGTGTGTGCGCGCGCGTGCGTGCGCGCGTGCGTGCGCGCGTGCGTGCGTGTGCACATGTGCTTGTGTGCCGGTTCCTGTCTCTGTGCGTGCGTGCGTGTGTGTGTGTGTGTGGGTGGGTGTGGAACAAGGGTTGTTAGGGCTAAAGTTTAAAGGGTTCAAGACTCAGCGTAGAGTAATTTCTTTGATGGCTTTCAGGAAGAGCTCTTGGCCCACCTGCTGGCCGAGCATTGGGTGAAGATCGTCATAGGCCTCAGTGCGACGGTAATCAAGAAATTTAAACCCTTTTCCCTGGAAGTTTGTGTCATGGAGGCCTGGGCCTAGCCGTTGCTCTGCGACTGCCGCAGCTGTTCCTTAGCGAAGACGGCCGGGAACCGGAAGCGCTATTTCCAGAGAGCTTTGGTCGTTTTGAAGCGCTGAGGGGTCGTCTTCCACATGCTTTTTGCCTGCGCCCCCAGCGTGCAGAGCAGCGTGGCATCCGTGTGCAAGTCGTGCGTTTGCTTTTGTTCAGACCTTGGTGACGGTCCTCAGATGCATGTCTCCTGTGCTGCCCTCGGTTTCGATCTGCAGCTCGCACCTTGTTTCCCTGATCGATGTGTTGCAGGTCATGCTCTGGTTTCGCGACGAGATGGGCTTGCCGAAGAAGGGAAAATCAACGGCCGGGAGCTAGCAAACTAGCATGAAGAGGTTTGCTTGCATGCGCTCCAAAGAATGGCCGTGAAACGAGGCAACCAACACATCGCCGCAGCCTCAGAACCGAAAGGTTTAGCTTCGAGCAACGCACTAGTAGAACAACTACTGATGGTTATTTACTGAGACTGAGGACTGGTGCCGTGCCCGCGGCGGCACCGCACAAGCACAGCCAGTAGTGATACTGTGAGTCAAAGACCACTCACTTCAACCGCATAGGCCTCATGCTGGCCTCAAAAAAGCGTGGTCTCAGTGGAGTCGAAGACGTGAGAGCACGGGAAGTTCAGGAAGCAAGCGCAGAGGAAGCAATCACACTTGCGTCGCCCACGGGGCCTAGAGCCCTAGAGTCCCTAGAGCTTGTCTTTGCCGGGTGGGCTCCGGGGGGGGACCAAGAGAGGGCGATATTGTCATTATAAAATCTCTCTCGCCATTCAGGCATACGCTCCACAAGGCATGCTTTGAGATAAGGGCGCAGGAGCTCATCCTACCGGGTACAACTAGTGTTTCCTGTTGGACAAGACCCTCGCCTGTTCGGGGCTCAGCGGCCTGGGCCGGACCCCTTTGACCCAGCCCTGTCCTAGACATCGTTTTGAGAGCTGTGGTCCGTTGGTGAGCTAGGTCTGAGTGTCACCGGTTCAAAGAACATGACCATGACACGCAGCATCTGCTCCAAGCCGAGAGGCTTCACTGTAGCGCTATGCTTCGGGCACGTCTGGCACTGGCAGCCATGGCAGTGGGTCGAAAAAAAGCTCCATTGGAGTTCTGGTCTTGGGTTTGAGCCGCGGGCTCGCGTCCGACCCGAATGCGAGAGGCCGAGACGAGTCGCGACGCGAAGAGAGGGCCGCCAAGCCACCGTGCGGAGCTCTTTGAACTGTGGATGAAGTCCCCGTTAGCGGCCACGCCGTTCACCGACAAACCACACCTCAGCTTTGCTGCACACGAAGCTCAGAGTAGCCGTTGGACACTGAGGTCCACTTCATAGCGGGTTTCAGAAGCCTGGACATTCCCGTCCCTAAGTCGAGATCTGCGGCTCAGCGTGACCCCCAAGCTCTCAAGCCGGCGCCAACGTTTCTTTGTCGCTGGCTGTGCCTGCGCGCAGGGTGAATAGTTTGTTCGGGTGCTTCGGCGTGAAGGCTCCACGAAGCACCGTGCGTTCACGTTCCGCGCGGTACTACCATAGGAGCTCCGGTTTCAAGTTTGCTGTAAGCGTGGTAGCTTTGGCATCACGGTGATGAAGCGGAACGCACGCTTGACTCTTCTGTTTATGCCTCTGCGTGTGCCATCTTTCTGGGACGGTCTTGTCAAGTGCTAACGAGTTGTTGATGTTCAGTGGAGCAGAAGACTCTGAAACCAATCAGCGACTGCATCCCTTCTGCGTTCATGCCGAAAGTGGGTCAAGAGTAAAGCCCGTGTAGAGATGTGAACTGGCCTAGAGCACCAAATGCGGCGCTTCGCGCGATCAGGCCTTGCGAGTCCAAAGGCACAGTAGCTTAGCGAGTGCCGCTGAATGTCGAACTTCGAAAGCCCTGATGCACCGATGACGATGGGATAGAGCGGCACAGACAAAATATGCATTTTGGTCACGACATCCCATGCCTTGAGAGAACCTTCTTGTCGCCACGCCAAGAGTCAAGCGACAGCAACAGCAACAGCAGCACCAATGCTTGGAATCCTTGGAATGACTGCACTGTGTTGTCACGGCTCCGTCTTGCGCATGAACAGCTTTCCTTGGCATGACTGCACTCGTCACGGCTCCATTTGACGGCCTTTTCCGCTGCGGTGAATCAGGTCTTGACGATGGACGCCGGCACGGGTAGCCCACTTGACTAGTAAGCCGTCCTATTGAAAGCAAGCGAGCATTGCTTATTCGCATCTTTCATATCATCCTCGTGTCACGCGGGCCCCCATAACTGCAAAATTGAAGTCCCTGCCACTCCCAAAACATGCTACACCCAAAGCAGGTCCCTAGTTGCAGAATCCGCTCCGGCATATCTGGACTTTGGCAACCTTAGCCGACAATCGAGATCAAAGTGTACAGCACAGGGCACAGGCATGAAGGTTTTCTGTTGTGAAGATTCTTGAAGGGCTTTTGGGCCATGGCTGCAGATCCATCCGGAATGGCCTGTGTTGTCTTCATTGGCCCCTCAAGTTGCGCTGTTTTCTCTTGTTCGTTCCAGCTTTCGTCATGACGACGTGGCGCGACTCCGCTCTTCCTTCTCATGCGCAGCGCCAAGTACCACCTGTATGGACCTCCCCATCCCAGCCCTGCCTGAAGCTGAAAGGCGGGTCCGCGAAGCCCCAGGATGCCCTAGGCCTCTTCTTTCGCACCGCCGGGGTCTCCGCAGCCCGGCAGCCCACCGTGTCGCCGTGTGTCGCCTTGAAAATTCCTTGCGTTTCCGCATACAGGCAGAGCTTTCTAGATGCCTGGGTGTTCAGCCTGTACATGGACGGGTCCAGCCGTTTCCTTGTGAGACGTTTCTTTCGCCGTCTCCAGGACGTCGAGAGTCGAGAGGCAGATCTGCTGCAAACGCGACCTGCAGATGATGTGGGTTTGTAACATCATATGAAGCACACAGAGAAGCCTCTTTAGTAGAAAAGAAGCGCCAAGACCGTGCAGAAAATAATATAGCAGCGATCGATCGCACATGGAGCGGCCGGCGAGATGCCGCGGCTCAGGCGTGGAGGGTTGGCCGGGGAACGGGTGGTTGTGGGGGGGGCGCTTCGGCAGGTTGGCCCTGGGCCTGGGCCCCCTGCTGGCGCTCTCGCAGGACGACAACAACAACCAAGAGAGTCAGAGGGGGGGGCTCGGGTCAGAGGGGGCTCGGTGTGGCTGTGCGCTGCAGGAGGCTCCCTGGGCCGCCAGCAAGCAATGCCGCTCCGCCCTTTTGCTGCCGCTCACCGTGGGCCGTCGCCGTTGCCGTTGCCACCTGCGCCAGGTCCCGAGCGCTACGACAGCAACGGCATGTGGAAGGCCGGCTGGCCCATGCGGCGCATCGCAGACTCGGAGCTTCCCTCCTTGCAGGGCTCGAGGCTGGTTGGTGGGAACTACACGCTCTACTGCGCGCCGGGCTTTGAGGCGCGAGGAGACAACTGGGGGAGCTTTTGGGCCGGGGCACTGCAGCCTTGACCAGGTCTCGGGGCCCAACGGAGGCCCGCGACCGACAGGCGACGGTTCTGGGAAGTGGGAAGTTCTGAGGCCCGAGCCGCTCCTTGACCTGCCCGCCGAGCCTCGTCTGGCTGGAGGAGATCGGAAAATTCCGCGCTTCGCGGCGCAAGGCACATGAGGCCGCCCACATCGCAGGAGCTCCACTGCAAGAACGTGGATGACTGCGCCAAGCTGAGGCGAGACACGCCGCCGCCATGCCGCCATTGAGTAGAGTCTCAGCTCTCTCCCTCAGGCACGGTTGTGGTGCCCTGGGCATCTGTTTGGACCTCATTGACGGCTACGACTGCAACTGTGAAAACGCGACTGGGCTGCCTCGATCCTCTTCTACTCCGGCCGGGGTGTCTAGGGTGGCGGTATTTTTGCTTATGTTTTAGTTTATTTTGTGTGTGTGTGTTTTTTTTTTTTTTTCCGGCCGCGCTGCTTCCAAGCAAGCAAGCAAGCAGGCAGGCAGGCAGGCAGGCAGGCAGGCAGGCAGGCAAGGCAAGGCAAGCCAGCAAAGCAAGCCAGCAAAGCAAGCCAGCAAAGCAAGTAAGCAAAGCAAGCAAGCAAGCCAAGCAAGCGAAGCAAGCAAAGCAAGCAAGGCAAGCAAAGCAAGCAAAGCAAGCAA